GGTTAGCTCGCCATCCATCACCATGCACCCCCTTGCGACCCCACTAAACTCATTAATTTGCCTCCCCTAGATTAGCCCTCCCCAAGAGACCTCAAAGAGCCCCTACCATTGTTCTCATGGTCTCACCCACATGGCCCGGAGGTCTTAAGTAATTCAACTCTCCAATAGCCAAAATTGAGGGAGAAATTAAATCATGGTACCGTAGGGATGTGGAGCAACAAAGAAATTCAGCCTGTACATGTGCCAACAGGCTCTTTGTTGCTTCCCTTATGATTTAGCTTCTTTGAAAAGCTAAGGTGACCATTTACCCATGAAATAGTTCCCACTTGAGATCTTACTGTGCTTTATGCCGCTCCATGTCCACAGGCTGTTTAAATTGAGCTAAATGCCTTTAAATGCACCTTAGAGGATGCTCCAAAAGTAAACAATACATGGGTGTGTGGAAATGCGCCTGTAGGTACTATGATTATGTCCCAGCTATTACAAATGTCTCCAGTCTCAGTGGAGTCTGATCAATTATCAGAATAGCAAAACAGAGTTTGAGCAAATCACTAATGCCTCAAAAATGTGTTACACATTCACATTTTGAATCTAAATCAAGTCTTTGACGTTCTCTGGTTAATCTGGCGTATTTCAATTCAAAGTGAAGACAGAGTAAGAATGAAATAAATAATTTAAAAAAGTGTGGAATTCATATACATGTTATCAATGAAGTGATCACTGTGAAAGCAGAATTCAAATCGAAATGTCGTCTCTACAGGTTCATAGAAATGTTCCAACAATCGTTGACAGCGGTGAAAAGAATTTAAAGGTTGAAGCATGATAAGAGGTGTTGTAGTAAATATACTGATGCTGCATTTTTTCCTTTTTAGGGGAATTTAATATTTTCTAAGTTAATCAGATATTATGATTTATCAATATATGATTGGCTTGCAATATATCAATCACTGCAGAATTGTTGGATCCTATTATATCCATATTATATCGTGAGCCACCCATGGTCATTGCCATGAGTTACACTGCAATCCCCACTGCCATTCCCACCCCTACCTTTCTCCATCCGCCCTTTTCTGAAGTGACACTGGCCGTTCCTGTCATCCTGTGGCATTGCTGAATCCAGGACAGAACAGAGTTTGGGTGACTGCCTCTGGCCCTGCTATTGAGCTCCCTAATTAAACTATTAATCTCACACCATTAACCTCTGATGACCCTTTCCTCCCTCCATTCTGACATTGCTGCACTCGCTTATAAAAACAACTTCCCATCAGATCTCCACAACCTCTAGATTGCATCCCTCCATCACTCTACTGTGCAGATTTGTTCTCACATACATACCCGTTTCCTCACTGCTTTCTCTGAGCACATTTTTAGGTTTATTTCTCCCTTCTCCTCCCTCTCTCTCTCTCTTTCTCGCTCTCTCTCTTTCTCTCTCTCTCTCTCTCTCTCTCTCTCAGTGTGACTCTCTGGGTGATGTGTGTGGACCACAGCTGTGTGTTAACTGCATTACTCTCCAAGTGGCTCTCCAAGGTGGATATGGTTACTTTTAATTAAAAAAGAATCAATTTCCATCCCTGTCAGTTTTTGAACTGGGTGACCATATGGACACTCAAAAATACAATCCAATTTCCAGCCCCCCGGCCCGCTGTCTGGCCATCTCTCTCCAAACCACTTTGGCACATCCATCACATCCGTCCATTGTAGGAGTAAAAAAAATTGGCAAATCAATTTACGGAGCCTGTCTTATAGGTTCATTTTCTTTAAAACACACTAACTATTCAGGGTTATTTCTGTCTAAAGCTAAAGGCACATGTAAATTAAGCAAAGTGGACCCAATGGGAAACCTCTTGGAGGACTAGTCATTGGACAATAAAAGAACACAATGGCGACGAAATGTTCTAAAGAACTAAAAAAAGAAAAGAAAAATTCATCTATCAATGTTACAGTACATAGGGGACAACGAATAAGACACTAAAAGGTTGCAGCATGAAAAGTCACTTCAACTCATGGAGCTAATTATGGTGCCGTTGTAATCCTGCTGCCACTGGGAGTGAAAGGAGCATGCTCGGGTACAAAGGCCCCTGCAGTGGTGTGGCTGCACCTCACATGAAAAGCAACCGAAGATTATAACATGGTAGCCACCGGAGGAGAAACATACATCAAAAGCTTATTAAAGCCAACCAAATAACTCACAATGACAGCACTACAAAAAGATAACCATTACATTTAAGTGCTGGGTATGTGTGACTTTGGGGCTGACCTTGTAGGCCACTGGTCTATTGTGTACGAGGAGGCTGTATGGGGAGCTGGTTGATTAGGCTGAGCTCCCTGGGGATCGATGGGACGTCTGCGATCAGCACTCAGAGTAATCACACTGTATTGTGTGCCTTCTCAATGACGGCATAAGATGAATGATGTCATGTGGCCATACACTGATAGTGCTGCTGGAGGATTTCTTGTACTTATTTGTGCTTCTAAATCATGAAGTGAACCATCTTAAGTATCAAAACAAACAAACAGTATGACAACAACCATTGTGATGCAGCCACCCTGAAGCGGCACACGACGCACTGTGAAACAATGATACTGGTGTTTTTGTTATTTAATGCCTAACCATGGTCACATTTGCTACCTGTGGTTTCTGCTGAACTTTTTCAAGGAGGACACAAGGATACCAGACTGAACCCATGTAATCACAAACTTGCCAGGCACCCCGCCCATAATATCTGTCTGGTGTATGCCCTGTAATACAGGAAATCCAAACCAGAACTATCAAGTTCACATAACTAAGTTGCATACAAATTACAGGCATCAAATGCATGCAACCCCTCTATTAGCGGTAGGTGTTATTTTTGCCCCCCAACCGTCTTATTTTAATTCTATGTCTGTTTGCTTTACAGTCTGGGTAATTGCAGGTTTAGGCTTTTTTTCCCCATGTGTGCTTGCATCAAAGTGCAACCAGAGGTTAACCTCGGTGCAGAGCCAAGAGTTATTTTTGTTTTATCTTTCTTTCAAGCTCAAATTCCATCTCTCGTTAAGTTCCTTATTCACGTATCAGAGTTTGAAGAAATCTACAGCTTGACCACAGCAGACGCTGTGTCCGTTCATTCAAATGGTTGGCTCTGTGTTGTTATTCGTAAATGATATAATTACCAAAATTAGAGGCTTATCTTGCTGAAGACAGTGAAACAATGAGCAAGATTTAAACAATTAAAGAAACTCATCTGCATTGATCAACTGTTTGATTAGTTAACACAGCACAAGAATAAACTATCTAGTTGTGTCTTAGTGTGTGTATATCTTTAGATACCTCTGCATTTAAAGAGAGAATGGTCTACATGGCATGAAGGCTACCACAGGATATCCACAATGCTGCGTATTTGATTAATGTTCTCATACGCTGCTATCTGCCGAAAGCACATTAATAACAATACAACAGCGGCATAACTTAATAATCAAGGCCCCATGTAAACTCTGGGCCAGACTGGACATCAGTGCACATTTAAATAATATCTTGGCAACTTCAACCCCCCTGATATTGCCTGTGATTTCTTCTTTATTGGGCTATTTTATGCTCATGCAATTCAATCTGTTTTGTTTATTCCCATGGAAGCAATTAAAACGCAAGCATAGAAATACACCGGCACATAATATAACATGACATAGAAGGTATGCACAACCAATAAATCATTTACTGTAGATCTCATTAGCTTTCTAATTAAGAAGATTTCCTACACACAATTCATTATCAGTAGTAATACCCTTAGTATTCAGAGTATGCTGCTTCACATCAGGATGCATTTTTTTGGGGAGGAAGCAGGAAACCGTATCTTACAGCAATAGTTTTAGAAAAGCAGCATGAATGGACTTGAGTCAAATACATGTCACTGTGTTTAACTCTGGGAATGGATTCAGTGCAGTGGGGCACATCGTGCTCAAGTAATTCTGTTCCAGTCAAGGTTTTGATTTGGTCCGATCCCATTACAGGCAGAGCAAAGACAGTCTTGCAGGACCAAAAGAAAAACGTCAGGAGTGGAAAAACTTTTCTACAAGGTCAAGTTCACACTGACACTGTGCAGCGCTCTAGACACCCCGCAAGAGACAAAGATGATAACACAGAGCTGAGTGAGACAAGGCAAAGGGGACGGGAAAACAAATCCTGCCGGACCCGTATTAGAGGACAGGGCAGTTGGTGTTTGGGGTGGGGGGAGGGATGGATGGATGGGAGGGGTTGAGGTATAATTGAATTACAGTGACCGTATGACAGCACTGTAGGTGAGGTCATGTGTTGAAATAATTCTGTCCCTGACCCCCTTCTGTGGCAGGGCAGAGCCTCTTGGATGGCCCCAAGACCCTAAGCGCAGCAACGGTGACACATCTTTCCGAGCTCCGTCTTCCAGCCAAAACCGTCATTCAGATTGACAGCCGGTCACGGAGGCCGATGGCACTTCAATCCTTGTGCTTATTTTTAGTATAAAGGCTAACGCTCTCTATACTTTGGGACTTGCATTAGAGAAGCTGCTATTTCTGTGTGCTGCAATACACCAAAGACGTGAGATGTAAACGAAATCTATATTCTACTTTCGAAGAAGAACTGTACAGCAAGACAGCTTGTTCTGTAAATATCCACCCATTCACTTTATGTGCAACACTGTCCCTTTAAATGAGGAGAATATCTTTCATTGTGTGTATTTGTCAGTAAGGTCATTTGAAGCCACGTGTTGTTATATAAAATGATATAATCTCCATATTTTTAATGGAATTTAGACAGTATGCAGGCAGTTTGCTTGCCATTTTTATAATTAAAAATAGGAATTACCCATGATTGAATGCCTAGGAGTATCTAATCAAGTATAGATGTCTTTTTAAGTTTAAAAAGCTGTTATAATACAACCCCTTTTCCTCATTATGTCGGAGCAAATGAGGGGCTAAAATGCTCCTAGTGTTCAAAAAAAGATCATGTACGTCTCTCATTTTCAGATTTTTATGACGGGGTTACTTACTGTCTGCTAGAGAGGAGCACACCATGCAGCTGAGTAGAAGCAGGAACAGCAACGCCCCTCTGGGCAGGAGGGGCACTGCCAGGTGAATATTAGGCACCATGTTCCAAGTTGGCACTGCTCCCTCCTCGGTCCCCTGCTAGACACGTCCCACTCTGACAGGATCAAAGACTAACACCTGGGAGAAGCAAACACATGCAGAACAGGAGGAACATTAGTATTCAAACTTGGGTGTGTATTTGCATAGATTTGAATGAGCCCGATAACACAGTAAAGCAGAAATATCAAACAGGAGTCGAAGAGCAAAACGAGACGGAATTTTTGTATTCTTGCTTGTAAACAGCCGTACACAAATCTGGAGATCTTTGGTCAGGATCAACACAACATCCGATAGCCTCAACTCAATCCTGCTCAGAGCTAAGAAAAATACAAGTGGAACGAATGCAACACGCAAACTGCTGAATACGAGCAGCAGAGTTACAAAACAACTGCATTACAGACAAAGAACAGAAAAATAATGAGAAGAAATAACAAGAACAAAGAGGAGGTCAGGACACAGGATTAAGCCCCTCAGCTCCGCCTTCACAACAGGGATCAGTTAAAAATCCAGAGGACCTCCTAAACAGAACTCCCCAAGGGCAACCGCCCACTTAATGTTCCCCATTAAGAAATTGGAACTGTGTCTTCCAGATGGGCTCAAATCACACAAAGTGCCATGATCTCATAACATGACAACATGTATGCATACATAAACACACGACACACCCCAAGGGGGACATGGCTGGTCAACAAAGCAGCAGCAGGTGTACAACAAATGAACCATAATTAACCATGCTATAAAACAGAAAGCCCTGCTCCATCTTCTTAAGTAGTGGGTGGAGAAGCAAAAACAGAGGCTGTCCCTCAAACAAATCCAAACAAGCTGTGATTCTTTGTCTTTTTTTTGTTGCAATTACATTAGGGGAAGGAAATGACTTAGCCAGCTGATAAGATCAGATCCATGACCTTAAGTTTGTTACAGTCTGCAGAGTCAATGTTTAATGCCATTATAAGAAGAGTTACTGTGTATCCCCATAAACAAGGCAAACTAAATTTTTTATCCCTACATTCATGCCCATGGACATCTGTGATGAGTAATCATAACGCTGTAAAGCAGACCACATGCGGTAAGGATAGATATCTCTCTAAATTAAAGCAGATCTCCAGAGGACTTGGGGGGGGAAAGGGAGCTAAAATGAGAAAAGTTTGAAAAGTTTGAAAGTAAGCCTGCTTTTGTCTTCAAGGGCTCCCTGACAACGATTCTGTACCCGAGATTTTACAAGAGGCCCATTGGAATTGAATTGAAAATGTCTCAGCTTGTCTGTTCAGTCTCACTTTTGAGGTGATATTGGTGACTAAGCAACACTGATTGCTGATATTTCTGGGGGAAAAAAACAACGAATGAGAGACGTGCACAACGTGGAATATCTTCAGGCTTCCTGGGTGGCCAGTCAGCTTTAGTCTATTCAGTTCAGCCAAATAAGTTAAAAGTGTCAGCAACACAATGCCTCCAGTATCCTGTGGACAAAAAAACAACATTTCCATTCTTAAGCCTGTGGAGGTGTTCAGCAGCCCCATTACTCATGTGGTCATTTCAATGCGTGAGGAAACACTGAAAAAATGCACACAGCGGGCACTTCTTTGACCACCCTCTTTGAGAAGCAAGACCAAGGAAATCACTCTGCAAGGCAAAAGATTTCAAGAGTCTTCCTTGTCTTTATCTGAGCTCTGCATTAACTGCTTCCGAAAACTCTCTTGGCAAAAGAAACGTGGAAAAGAATAATGTGAAGGACTGGTTTTTTTTTGTGTGTGTGGGAGTCACGGTGCTAGTGCTTCACCTGGGCGCGATTGCAGACAGGTATCACCGACGGCTCGCTCTTCATCACTGTTTGTCACTTACAGGAATGTGCTTCTGGGCTTTCATGCCTACTAAACCAATTTCCAATAAACACACACCTTGCCTCTCAGGAATTTTTTCCGAACACATCATCTTTCATCAGTGAAAGTTCAAGCTGTTATCGTACCGAGCTGTAGCGTTCTCCTCCCTGACGAACATTTCTGAGACACACTCAGAAGTGTGGCTTAAATTATTAAAAAAAACCTCTGGAAAATAACGTTTCCTCTTGTGTCTTCACCTTCAGTGGTAATGAGAAAGCAGCTCATTGTTGATGTGTTAAGCTGTAGCTGTCTGAGGAAGAAAAAGATACACAAATAACACTGCTTGAGGTGCCAAAGAACTGGATCACTCCCCCCTCTCTGCAAGCAGAATGAAAGACATTAAGGCCTCGTTTTTTTTTGTTTTTTGTTTTTTTCTCCAGCTGATACCCCGAGTTAGCGCGGCAAAAATTAGTCGAACTCGCATCAAGTTTGTTGGCTGACAAATTTGTTTTGACACTCATTTTCTATGTACGCCAGCATTGCGTTGGTTCAAGTCAGCGGGTAGAGGAAGTGAGTGAGGCTGATAAAGTTGGCTACTCGCCGTGCTCCAAACCCTTGGCGGTGGAGGGATATCTTTTACAGCAGATGCCAGAGAGAGGCAGATGCTTTTCATCTTCAATGAGACAAATTCCTAGAGCGAGGTTTTTATTCTTTATTTATTTAGCGACTTATTTATCCCCGTGCAGCTTTTGGTGCCTCCCAGCTGCACACAAACACTGTGGGACAACACTTGCCACTATGTGCATTTGTTCTGTAGGGCTACTGAGTGAAGGACAGGGCACCAACAGGGACAAGCTGCAGTGTTAGCCAGAATCTGAGTAAAAGGCTCTGCACACAGGAAGACATTGTTAGCAACTATGTGGGAGAGCAGGAGAAAAACACTGAAAAGACGGAGGGGTGGATGTCTGCCCTTGTGAGATTGTGATTTGAATCCTTTTGTCTATGAAAAGAGTCAAATGTGAAGCATAGTAAGTGTGCAGAGAAGACCGTGTGTACGAGAGAAACAGAGTTATACTGCGTCATTATGGCTAAAATGATATGCCCGATTATTTCACCAGAAATTGAGATCCTAATTAATAATCAGAACAATTAGGCAGGATGAATTCAGGAGCTAAAACTGTTTTGCAGCTTGAGTTGATTATGTAAATGAATACAGTCTGAAACGCAAACTAAACTGAAGTTTAATTAATCAGCATGTCACAACAAAGTTGGACATATTTTCTTTAAAAATGCAGCAAGTAAATTATGAAAATATAGCTTACAAAATGTAGTCTTAATTTAATTAGCACTAAATTGTATCTGACACTGACATCATATTAAAGCAGGGATTTTTAGCTACTTCTATGATGTTTTGGTCACTTTGTCTTTAAAGCTCCTCTGAGGATTTTTTTTTAGCTAGTTACAAAATTGACTGAAATTAATACTGGTGCCTCCACATGACCTACAAAAGCAAACAAAACCATCTACGACAGTATCACTTAAGACTATATGGTTATTTTAATGCTTTAAACTGCTGCCTAGGTGTCACATGAAGTAAAAAAAAAAAGAACAGCACACTGCAGTAACGGCCTTTAAGGCAAAGATTCTCAATGAGTAACACGACCGACTGAAAACAGGATGACATTCGTCCTCATTAAGTGCTACTTATGCATTCACAGGAAAAGATCAGCAGAGATACTACTCTGTCCACTGAGTGCACCAAAATAACACAAAGTGAGAGTTTCTCACTGGAGCTTTAAGAATTACTTGCAGCAAATTCAGGCTGGTTTGGCCAGTATACATGACACGCTAATAAGAAAGTTCATGGACAATGCCATTTTATTGCAAATATATTTGAACTGATTAGCGAGGATAACATGTAACTGAATGTGTTTCTTCTCTCTATTTTTTTTGACTTCACTTTTAGTTTACTGGAAACAATACATTACGTCCAGAGAGTTTTCGAACCAGATAAGGGCGAGGCCTGCCACCAGGCTAACACAATTTATGTTGCAGCATTGAGGCCATGTGTGCAATTTGTCAACATGTCAGGAACATATATCCTATCAAAGCACATAGGAGCCTACAGCAGCCATGTTTAATCTTAACACAGAGGCACTGTAGGAGAGAAATAAAGGGTCATACAAGTTGAATTAAACCTAAACGTATTATACCAGTCAATTGTTAACTCCTTTAGCGAGAAGCTGGCGTGTGAGGGGAGTTCTCAGTAATGCAAAACATAACATTTTCTGTATATACGGTGTGCTGTATTATAGAGAGAGGAATTAGAGGTTTAGTGAAGTAATTAACAATGGAACAAAGAGACGCGAACATCTCCAACGGTAAACTGTGGAGGACAAAAGATTTTTTTGTGTGTACAGTGGGGAGGGGAATAAAACAGAAATTACACACCTATCCTGTTTGCTTATTTGCCACCCACATCATGTGCCTGTCATTCACGTTATTACCGTGTGTGTGTGCGTGTGTGTGTGTGTGTGTGTGTGTGTGTGTGTGTGGCAAGGGAGTGGCCACCCATACAGGAGTGGTCTACAAACAGACAATGTGAGACACAGCTGCGCGGAGTAAGAGAGAGAGAGCACAGGGGCTGAGTAAACACTACCATTACACTAACTACAGGTAGCATGTCTGCCTGCCATCGTTTCCATCCCTCCTACTCGTGTTCTCTCTCTCTCTTTCTCCGTCTCTGTTTAATGGGTCATCCTGTGTGCGGGGAGGTGGGACAGAAGAGATATATGGCCAGCAGAGTGTGGAGCTAATCATGGCCGTCTCTGGAGGTGATAAACCCAGACCGGAGAGGTTTGTGTTGGCGCAGCCTGCAACGGCTCCATAAACACAGTTACAAGCTGAATTTCGACAGCAGTGTTTTGGCCCCTGATTAGTTTTCCATGCCCTAGAAGACTCACCCTCACAAGTCTGTACTTCTTTTTTTTTTTTTTTGTTTCTACCTCAGCAGCCAAACGCGCACCACAAGACCCCAGGAGAATTACCACAAGCCGACGAGTGCCGTATTGTAAAATGAAAGCGTAATGTAAGAAAATGAGGTTTTTCTCTCAGACCTGTCTTCTCAGGAAGGTCATGTTGTATCCACAGACCTGATTGTGCGTGTCTTTTTCACATGGCAGGCTACATGGCCCTGCATCCAACCTAACACCACCTAACAAAAGGTAATGTCCTGTGACCGATCAAGTTTTACAACAGTTT